ACATGGAGGACAAACACTTCCAGAAACATCTTGATGTGCGAGGGGGCACAATTTTAGTGATGAGCTGCAACTGAAATGAACTGCCAAAGATGCTAATTATCTGTCTACTTTACCCAAAGTGGTCTAGTTCAAACCGAGTTTGGGGAAAAAATATAAAGATCTCCATAAAGAAATCTTACTATTTTCTGGTTCATTTAGTGGCCTAATTGAAAAATGAAATTTCTTCAGAAATGATTGATAAAATAAATAAATGATGCCATTTGACAAACTGTAGGCATGTGAAGAGCTCCACATATTGGTGCACCCTCTTCTATGCACCTCCAAAATATATGAAAGGTTTCTATTACATCAGATAGGAGCGGCTATCATTTTGCATAAACACTGATTTTTATTAGAGTAAGTGAGGGATTCCTAGTATCTGTTGCCTGTTATGGGACACAACCATGACCTAAAGGTGGGATGGGCTCAGCATTATTTCTTATGGCCCATAGAGTTTGGGTAGAGGGGATGAACTGGCAAAGAGAGTGAAAGTGAAGGGAAGAAAAGAAAATGATTCCATCCTGCAGAATCATTAGTTTTTCCTTCTTTTTGGATCTAGCTCAGGCATAGGCAAACTTTCTAACTTGGGGACCACATGGTAGCACTTTCTGCTAAGGCGACTGGCTGCCCATGATGGATGGAAGGAAGAGAAGGAGGAAGGAAAGAGAGAAGAAAGGAAGGACGAAAGGAAAGGATGGAAGAAAGGAAGGAAGCATAAAAGGAAAAAGAGAAGGAAGGAAAGACAAAAGGGAAAGAAAGGAGAAACGGAGAGGGAGGGAAGGAAGGAAGGATGAAAGGGTAGAAGGGAAGAATGGAAGGAATGAGAAAAGGAGGGAAGAATGAAAGGGTGGAAGGGAATGGAGGGAGGGAGAAAGAGGGGAGGGGGAAAGCGAGAAGGAAAGAAAAACAAAAAGGAAGGAAGGCGAATGATGGGGAGAGGGAAGGAAGGACGAAAAGGTGGAAGGGAAGGGAAGGGAAGAGGAAGGAAGAAGGGGGAAGAAAGAGGGGTGGGGAAAAGCGAGAAGGAAAGAAAAACAAAAAGGAAGGAAGGAAGGAAGGAAGGCAAAATATGGGAAGAGGGAAGGAAGGACGAAAAGGTGGAAGGGAAGGGAAGAGGGAGGAAGAAGGAGGAGAAAGAGGGAGGGAGGGAAGGAGAAAAGAAAGAGAGTAAGAGCCCAAGGCCTGGGTTTCCCCATGCCTGTTCTAACTCCACTTTTACAGGCTTGGAACCAAGAACCAAAACATTCTTATCAAAATATTTAAGGAGGATGCTAGTTGGCTTACTTAGGGTGCAGTTTGTTGTATTTATCATATACAAGCAAAAGTTTTCAAAAGACACTCTGCAATTACTATGAGTACATAATGCATGTTTCCAGATAGTAAACTAGTGTTAATACAGATTTATAATTGTCGCCATACACAAATTTGGAACAGAAAAATACTGAGCTTGTTCCTTCCACATGTCAAGCTAGTTTTTGTTTTAAATTCAGCAAAGATATTGATAATTTAAAACTTTGGACAACCACAAATCAAAAATGACAATTTAATCAGGGGCCATTGTTCACGATAAATATTTATTTGTTAATGGCAAATTAACACCGTTAAACTACAGAAACTGAAGACATTTGGGAATATCGGCAGAGTTTTCCTTATTTTAAATGGCAATTCACACAGTGAGGTGAAGATACTTGTTTGCTGTAGATCAACATTAGGATTGTTGTTCAATAATTATTTTGAGGTAAAGTGAGGTATCATTTCCAAGTGGTTTTTTGACAGTAACAGAAGCAGGCTGCTGTGGATTTCCTAAACAAAAATTTGCACTCCCGTGAGTCCCTCTGTGAGCAACAGGTAGCATGAAATGTTTAATTTGGCTAAAGTAGGCAAGCTACTTTTCACTGCCCACAGGCCCGTAGCCAGGATTTCGTTTCGGGGGGGGGGGGCTAAAAAATTTTCAGGGGGGTTTCGGGGGGGCTGAGTTTCGGGGGGGCTGAGTCTGAGTGAAAGAGGGTCTAGCCTAGCAAACCTTTTGTATCATTACCCCAATACCCCCATACATATGGGATATATTGAGAATGGTGATCAAATCATGATATTAATAAACATAACAGTTTAAATAATGCACCAGTAAGACCTTTTCGCGAACCACCATGAGAATTTCGGGGGGGGGGGGGCTGAAGCCCCCCGCCCCCCCCCCCCTAGCTACATGCCTGACTGCCCATTAATCCTGACCATTTGACTAAGGATGGCAGTCTTTCATACCTTATTCAGCAGAGAGAAGTCAGTGATTCTTCATCACTCTATTACCCAGAAGAGCTTGAAAGTCTCATCATGGAACAGCAAGAATGTTTTCCTTGACATTATTTCCTGGAGATATGTTAGGAGTATCTATCTCACAACAGGCAAGCATATCACAATTATTGCAGGACTTACTACATGACGTCACTCCTTTCCCTCAGCCCTCCCAGTGGAAAACAGCCTGGAAAACTTTTCTTTTTCAAACATAAATAATGTGTTAATTATTTCCTGTTGCAAAAGTAACACCTTCCAACAGTCTCTCACTGGGGGAGTGGTAGGAAAGGAGCAATGGGATGTGATAAGTCCAAGGTACAGACCTTGTCCTGCTGTGATTGTGTTTGCATGGCTTGTGTGATAAACTTCTCAGACTATAATTCCCTAGCCAACACAGCCCTTGAGGATGACGAGAGAAGTCGACCAACACATCTGTGGAAAGCTGGGCTAGAGACCCCAAGTGAAAAGTTCTGGCACAGGGATCTGACTTTGTGGAATCAATACAGCAATTGATGGGTTACACCTAATATGAATGGAGAATGGTAACTGCAGCCATAGGTCTCCCCTCAGCTATGTGCCACTCTTTACCACCCACACATTCAGTTCCCATACTGGTAACAGCCTGGGGCTTATCAGACTGTCTCGTTTCAGATCCATTTTTGTTCATTTTCCGTAAAACCCAAGGTATTTAGCAAGGAGTTATTCTTCTTCCTGATCATCCATGGTACAGGGATCCGCAGTAATGGCTGGGTCAGCATCTTCCTTGTTGCCCGAATAGCAGGAGGCATGGCTTGTTTCAGGTATCAGGGCTGGGCAATAAGTGACCCTTTTAATGTCTCTGCACTGAAATTCCCTAATGTAGATTGATGGAAGTAACAGCCCAACATCTGGAGGACCAAAGATTTCCTGTTCCTGCTTTCAAAACAAATATTTAATCTCCATACACAAGCACGTAACTGAATGTGTAGGAAATGTGCCACAATCTCTTTGTCTCCACTCCCTAACCCAATGCTACATTTTTGCATTCCTTTGCTGATTTTGTTTAATTCATGAACTTAGTTAATAAGCAAGCATGTTTGAGTAATTGTGCAATTGTTCTACACTTTGTGATCAAATATGACATCTGGTCCAGACATTATTCACACTAGGGATACCAACATAGCCAGAATAATTTTCAGCCTCCCCCATTCCCCCATTTAGAACAACTTTGGGGAGTTTACCAACTGTAACTGAGAAAATGTGCAGTAGAGTAGCTGCAAATAACTCTAGCAGTCCTGCTAAACCAACGTTCCTTGACTTGATGCCTCCAATAGCCATGCGGGGGATGGAGGGAGATGCAATCCAACATAATGTAGCTGCTTTAGGTTTTGGAAGACTGTCCTAAAAAGTATGAATGTAGTGATCTTGGTCTCCATAATGAATATAATATTTTTGGGCCTCAACAAACAGGACTGCTAGGGAGGATGCATTGTTTTAATTACAAAAGGCTGCCTCCCTATAGTGGATTTGAGGGGCTATGCATGTTAATGTCCACCTCATGAAATCCCATGTATTGCCATTCCTTCATCTTGTGTGGTGCCTTTTTTTCACCCATCCATAATACAATTGTTGTCCATAGTGAATGGCTCAGTATCAACTATCTGTATGAGGCATGTCATCAATGCCTCAATTCCTTTGTTCGCTTCAGAATTTCCAGTTTACTGAGGTCAGCCTTTGTGATGGAAAACACTCTTTGGTGGAAGAACTTGCCATCTCCTGGGTTAAAGATTGTAGATCCCAGCTCAGCAATGATTTACATCTGATTATTATTTTTCTCCACTAGGATGAAAAACCAACAGGGTCTCCCATCCACTGACAAGCACCACTAGCCTTCCCAGTTGGAAGAATATGTGTCATGGGTAAGAAGGAATCCTGCTGTTATCTCTGTTCATTAATTGGAAATATCACTAATATTCACCCATTAGAGAAAGGAAGACACTGGGAAAGAGAGCAGCAAATGGGGGAATCTGTCCACCTGGCAAGAGAATGGAGACTGGTAGAATCAGGATCCTTAGGAGCTTCCATGAATTGGATGAGGACCCTCCATAAGCCACATAAATCCAGAGGTGCTTCTCTCCTGGCCTGCTTCACAATGTGTAGAGGGAAATAGCTGCTAGACAGCTAAAGACACATATTTGTAATGTGAGGACATTAAAACATGAGCATGGAATACTTGCCATGGACACATCTCTATGGAACCAGGCTGTCGTTGTTGAGCATCTAGGTATACATCCCATTCTCATATCACAAGTTGAGCATCCCATATCCAGAAATCTAAAATCCAAACTCTTCCAAAAATTTTCCACGTGTGTGGCTGAGATAGTGACATTTTTGTTTCCGATGGTTCAATGTACACAAACTTGATTTCATGCACAAAAAATATTAAAAATAATGTGTAAAAATCCCCTTTGGGCTATGTGTATAGGGTATATATGAAACATTAATGAATTTCTTGTTTAGATTTGGGCCCCAACTTTAAGGTAACCTCATTATGTATATATATCAAAGTACAGGTATTCCAAAATCCAAAACATTTGTGGTTCTAAGTATTGTGAATAAGGGATATTCAACCGATATGACAATATGCCTTTCATTCTGCATGTATCTTTGGGCTACAAGTGCTTGTAGAAAAATAATAATACCAGAACTATACTTTATTAAGACAGCTTCATTTTAAGCAGATGGACAAGCCAGACAACGTGCCTCTCAGTGTGTCCTTAAAATGAAATCCACACTTCCATGCACTGCTCCAGCCAAATCGTAGCCTGACAGGAAGGAACATACGGTGAAGAACTACCAATGAAGTAGGTCAGCAAGCAGAGTTGAAAAGGGCATATATGAGTGGGCTTCTGAAAAGTCTGGAGACTTGGGTGGGGGTCCTTCAAAGGAATGTAAACAATGAACAAACATGGAGAGAGACACGCTGTACCTCACTCCTCTGCCTCCACCTCCCCATCCAACAAAGACCTTCTTCCAGGATGTTGCCGCTTCTCTTCTCCCCGGCCTTGGCTAACGCTATCTAGCAACTCAAGCAGCAAGCTGCCTTTGCTGCATTCCAAGGAATCCTGCAGGTCGCAGGGAGCAGTGTAATCTGGACTCTCCGAACTCAGATACCTCTTCCCTGGATGCTGCCGTTTCTCCAGGCTCTGCTCTACTTCCTCGGTCTCTTCATCCCAACTTCGCTTTCCAGGGTGCTGTCGCTTGCTGTATGCCAGGTATCTCTTACCTGGATGCTGCCTCTTAGATAATTCATTCAGATAAGCCAGCTGGCTGTTGGGGATGTCAAGGTATTGTTCCCATAGGGATCGTCTGCCAGGATGCTGCCTCTTCTGCAGTTCTGAGTAGAGATCAAAACCATCATCTTGGTCTCTTTTCCCAGGATGTTGCCTCTTTTCCAGACTGTATAGATCTCTCTTCCCAGGGTGCTGCCTTTTGGTGATCAGGTCCAACTGGGGAGTATTTAAATCTGTCCAATAAAATGTGTAACATTGTTAATAACATTCAGAGCCACAATGTGATAATGGTTTGAGTATTAGAATATAAACTCAGAGTTGGAGTTTCTGTTCCTGCAAGTCTCATATCAATTTATAGTAGAATTGGCCGTCTGCAAGGACGTTGCCCAGGGAATGCCCGGATGTGTTACCATCCTGTGTGAGGCTTCTCTCATATCCCCACATGGGAAGCTGGGGCTGACGCCAGAAGCGGCTTGCAGTATATTCTCAAGTCGGTTCTGACATGATTTAAAAAATGGTAAAATGAATGCAGGTTGCCACCACTTCAACCGACATGGTTCAGTATTTGGAATCATGGGATTTGTGGCTTTTCCTGTTCTAAAGGTAACAATGAGCAAGCTGTTTCATGCTAGCCTTGTATTGAACATAGAAGGGAAATTTTTTTAAAAAAAACATGCTTTAGCTTTAAAATTAAAACAATAGCAGTATGACTTGACCATTGCTTTGTGATTACTAAAAGAGATATGTGCCTGTCTTGCAGTTGTCATTGACATCAACTAAGTTACAGTCCACTTTGAAAACCTTTCAGGGAAGAAAAGGGACATCCAATCACCCTCAATATCCACATATTCTACATCCACCAATTCAACCAACCATGGCTGTACGTAATGAGAGTTGATATCTACAGAGTATTTATGATGGCTCCTGGAACCAAATCCCAGCAGATACCGGGGACCCAATATATAAACAACAAAGCCATTTCAGCTGCTAAAGTCTGTTTCCCACCACACAATTACTGAACTTTAATACAATGCCATGGCTACATCCGGAGACTTTTAACTTTTAATGACGATGCTAGATGGATTATGGATTTATGAATTGGCGAACATTGACCACAAGGTGATTTTATTGCTGCTATTGTACTGTTTTGATTGTTTTTAACTAGTTATAACTGTTGACGTTATATTGTAATTTTGTATATTGTATTTTGTGAATTGTTGGGCATCAAATTGTGCCTTTTGTAAGCCACCCTGAGTCTCCCCTAGGGGGTTGAGAAGGGCGGGGTAGAAGTACCCCAAATAAATAAATAAATAAATTTAGAGCTTTCTGGCATAGCATTTGGTATATTATACAAAACTACAAGTCCCAGGAACCCATAGAATGCAATATCAAAGTGCAATAATAATAATAAGCATCATCATCATCTTTATTTATATTCCATCCTATTTCCCCGAAGGGACTCAGATAATTGCAATAATTGTGTAATGTGAAAGACCTAAATAATTAAACATACCTTTGTTGGGATCCTCTTCATCCTCTTCCATTTTCCTGAAAACAGACCTCAAGATGATGCTCTCTGCCCTTTGGAAAATGTCATCCAAATGAGCCTTTTCCTCATTCTCATCTTCTTCTGGAAATGACTGCCCCAAATTGCCACAAACACTGGTGAAAGCCAGGGAGAAGAAGAGCAGGAGCAGATGAGCAGATGCCATTGCGGGAATGCAAGTCCTGGAAGAGAAACACGGTGATGGAGAACAAAACAGGTAACACATGCAACATTCTTAATGACTCAGAGAAACATGGCACACTCATGACGATAAACCCAGGCTCTTGCGTTATTATCTAACCCTGTTGAAGTTGCCTGCAGAAATGATCATTTGGTCTCCTGTAATTTTTCTGGACATTCCCTCAGTTTACATGAGCATCTTCAAATGACTTGGGAAGTTTGCCTTTGAGCAAAGATGAGGGCTGAATCAGCATGTATTTAGGTTTATCATCCCCTTTTCATGATGAACATCTTTCTCTCCCTCTCTGTCTGTCTTCAAGCGCACATACACAAACACCTTCACCTTTGTAATGACCTGAATTCTTTTTCATTACTAAAGAACTAAAGCAATGTAATCTTCATTTCAAAACATCAAATCAGATTTTGTTTCACACCAGACACATTGGGAATAAAACAAAACAAGAAACACAAATAGGCATACTTAAAACAGAGTTTTAGCAAATAATTACATTATGCCTGGCCTAAAATGTATACTATTTTAAAAGAGCTCTTAAAAACATTCACACAAATCAATTTTTATTTTTACTACATTCCTAACACTCTCAAAACATCTTGAAACATGAAAAGATGACTGTTATTTCATACTGTGGCTAGGGATTCAAAGCACATTTCAACCCCATTAGCCTAAATCTAACGATTTAAGCTAATGAGCGAGTAGATGTCAGAATAGAACATTTACTTCAATGTATTTGCCAGGCTTTCCCTTTCTGATCTGATACCTGGCAAGTGAAGAACTGTTATTTTTCAGGCATTTCAAACTGATTTGGAATTATTTTGCTATCTAATTGTTGGAATTCACCTGTTTAAAACAGAAGACATTGCTAGTTAAAAGAAACACAGACTTTCTGGTTTAAAGTTTTACAAAGCAATTGCTCAAAAAAGGCATTCGTTCTCCAATAAATAGCATGCCTTAATAATCATCACGAGCATAGCTCAAGAACGGCATATATTAGCTTACAGACATGTGCTGCTTCTTGATCGCAGTAGTTAATAAGAAGGAAAAAGTTTTTTAAAGCAGGCAGACCTGGCAATTACATTTAAATAGAAATTACCTTCTCTCCTGGTGTTTTACTCCTCGCCAGAGGTTTCCAGAGGGTTGCTTGAGCTCCCTATGTTTCTGCAGCTGTTAATGCGTCTGAGCTTCAAAGTTGCCTTCCCCTTCTGAGCACATGAGGCATCCAATAGAACTGCTGCTGAGTTCTCCTTTGTGGGTTACTTCTTCTCTCCCTCTTATACCCTCCTGCCTCTGAAGAACCTATTACGCAAATCACTGTGAGGTAATGTACACAATATGTTGTATTTCCCCGGCCTCTCCCCCTTTCAATGATGTCAGCCATCTGAAAATTGTGTGTATGGTAAAATCCTGAGAGTTGTGAGCTGACCTCACGATACTCCCAAATTCCAGGGGAAGGGGAGAAATGTTCCAGAAAATAATACAACATGAGATAGGTTTTGATACTTGTCTTAACATAAACTCATCAGCTTCAGGTCAAACGGGGGGTATGCGTCAACTTGGAAGTGCATCGTTCCTGAGATAGGGAAGAGAAAATAATACACACATGCACCGGATAGAAAATGCTGTATTGAGGAGTTGTTGTTCTTCTTTCTATTCCCTTAGGCAATGATCCACAGCTCCCTGTCATGGAACCATGTTCCAAATGTAGCATTTTTCTGAGGGAATACATCCATTAAATCAATGGTTCTCAACCTTCCTAATGCCACGACCTCTTAATCCAGTTCCTCATGTTGTGGTGACTTCCAGTAAAGTTATTTTTGTTGCCACTTCAGAACTCTAAATTTGCTACTGTTATGAATTGCAATGTAAATATCTGATATGCAGGATGAATCTTCATTCACTGGACCAAATTTGGCACAAATACCCGATACACCCAAATATGTACACTGATGGGGTTAGGGGATTTGATTTTGTCATGTGAGAGTAGTAGATGCTGGGATTTATAGTTAACCTATAATAAAGAGCATTTTGAACTCCACCAATGATGGAATTGAACCAAACTTGGCACACAGAACTCCCATGCCCAACAAAAAATACTGAAAGGATTTGGTGGGCACTGACTTTGAGTTTTGGAGTTGTAGTTCATCTACATCCAGAGAGCACTACCAAATAATGATAGATCTGGACTAAACTTGGCACAAATACTCAATATGCCCAAATGTGAACACTGGTGGAGTTTGGGGAAAACAGACCTTGATATTTGGGAGTTGTAGTTACTGGGATTTATAGTTCACCTACAATCAAAGAGCATTCTGAACCCTGCCAATGATAGAATCGAAACAATCCTGGCACACAGAACTTCCATGACCAACAGAAAATACTGAAAGGGTTTGGTGGGCATTGACCTTGGGGTTTGGAGTATTAGTTCACCTACATCCAGAGAGCAGGAGGAGGGCTTTTGTTGGGAGGCTTCACTGCCTGTTTCCAAAAAGGAAGAGGACAGCAGAGAGATCTTCCGCCTTCTCTGCCAAATGGGTTCCTAAGATCATCAGAAATATGTGTTTTCTGATCATCTTTGGTGACCCCTCTGAAACTCCCATCATGATCCCCCCCCCAGGGGTCCTGATCCCCAACTTGAGAAGCACTGCATTAAGTGGTTGGCAAAGCATGAACATACAAACTCAACCTGAAAAGTCAGGTTTTTTAAAGCATGTAAATGGATCATAGAGTCTGGGTTGCTGAGTTTTTTGGGCTATATGGCCATGTTCCAGTAGCATTCTCTCCTGACTTTTCACCTGCATCTATGGCAGGCAACCTCAGAGGTCCTCTGAACAAACTGATGCTTGCCACAGATGCAAGCAGAATTTCAGGAGAGAATGGTACTGGAACATGACCATACAGCCCAAAAACTCTCAGCAACCCATTGAATCCAGCCATGAAAGCCTTCAACAACACATCGATCATAGAGTCCTCCGCATTTGTGTAATTCTCCCCTTGTCCATATATATTAGCATTTTGCTGGCCTTTTTAAAAAAAAACACACAAATATGATTCAGACAAACTTAAATACCTTAAAATCTCCACCTTTGATACTGAAAACATGAAAAGCTCTAACCATGGTTTAAGTATCCTGCTATGGATGCCACAAAAGGTATCAAGAGAAAGAGCAGAAAGAAAGGAGAAAGCACAATGGAATAAGGATTAAAGTTTCTAACCCACAAAAGGAGCATTTACTTTACTAGTGTAAAATAAGCAAATTTGTGCATTTATGTGCTTAAATACAGTATTGCAAATTCTCCAGGGAGCAAACAGATAACAATTCAAACACTTCCAGATTAAACTCAATCAATAAATGAGATGTGATAAAATTAAAAATTAAGACATACTTTTGAGATAAATAATTTATTTAGAAGGCAAAATTTGAGCTTTCTTTCTTTATGGATTCCATTTTATTGAGGAGGATGAGAAAGATTCTTACCTTCTTCGTCAGTATCTTCAGTGTAAGTCTACCTTTTGGTCCTCATTGCCTATGCAGATCCAAAATCTCAGAATCAGCGGCAAGATGCAGAGATGTCCCATGTGTGGGTGAATGTTCCTTTACAAACCAAACATTATAGATAGGTATTTCCTTAAAGTATTGTATATAATCCTCATCTAGCCTGATGATAATACTCCACTGGTAACTTAAGGGCATTTTCTGATTCTAAAGATAATTGCAGTGTTTGTGGGTCAAAATCAAAAGTGCAACCCATATTCATATACTCCCTTGTCTATAAATAATATAATTAACAAAAATCCGATAGATTCATTGTGGAAGTTTTTTCTCCCAGTTTTTTTGCTTGAAAAGAAATCTGTATGTTGATGAAATTTAGGTATGTTGTCCATGACTCCTTGGATGACAATGTGAGCTTAGTTCTTTGTGAATTCTACAACAAATCTTTACTCTGCTTGCTAAAATGTCCTGTCTGCCTGGACATGGGTTAAAGCGATATAAAAATCTACCTTTGGTGGTTTGGTTAGTGACTGTAAGATTGCTACATCAATGATTGGGCAAAGTGAACCCAAATACTGAATAATATACAGGTCGGGGTGAACTCCCGCTGTTAACTCTAGCTCCTGCCAATCTAGCAGTTCGAAAACATGCAAATGTGAATAGATCAGTAGGCACCGCTTTGGCGGGAAGGTAATAAAGGCACCCATGCAGCCATGCCAGCAACATGACCATGAGGTATCTATGGGCTCCTTGGCTTGGAAATGGAACAAGAGCACCTCCCATGGCCAGAGTTGAGCACCAACTCCAGAAAGCTGGAGATGAAAAGGGAAGCCTCTACCTTTGTCCTGTGTATTTGTATGTGCATTCCACTGTATTAAAGGCATTGAATGTTTGCCTATCTATGTATATTGCAATCTACTCTGCATCCTCTCAGGGAGATAGAACAGAATATAAATAAAGTGTTGCTGTTTTTGTCATTATTATTATTATTATTATTATTATTATTATTATTATTATCTTGTGCAAGGAAACACATTTGGTCCTTTGAACAGGATTCAAATCCTTTCTCCCTTTTTAAAAACTAAGGAAATGTGAAGGCTGTTGAAAACAGGAGCATGGCAGCTTCACGACTTTATCAAGAGCCTGTCAACTTCAATCTGGATCTTTGTCACAACAGCTTACAAACTAAACATCAGGACTCAAGATCTGCAAGGTCCATATTGCTAGAAAATTGGATTTGGGCATCTGCTAAGTAGTTTCCTTTCGTGGAACAGTAATAAGAAAGAGATGCAAACCACTGAAACAAATCAAGTACTGACAAGGTATAAATTCAGGTGACAACTGATGTTCAGAATTGAGGAATGGAGCTGTTACTGCAATATTTAGAATATGCTATAAACATTTAAGTAAGCTGCCCATCACATTGCATGTATTTATAATTGGAAACCTTCTAATCTATTTTCTATGGAGCTTGGAAGTGTATTTCAAGATCCAAAAAACACCTGAAATCCAAAACATTCTGGTCCCTTCAAGCTTCAAAGCTTGGCTGATTCCTGTCTGGGGGAATCCTTTGTTGGGAGGTCTTAGCTGGCCTTGATTATTTCATGTCAGGATTTCCCTTGTTTTCCCTTGAAACAATCAAGGCCAGCCAACACCTTCCAACAAAGGATTCCCCCAGGCAGGAACCAGCCAGACTTTGAAGCTTCAATGCCATTCAGTGCTAATTCAGGAGGAGAAGGGTGGGGTATAAATATATAGGAAATAAAAATAAATAAATAAATAATCAAGGTGACTGACTGCAACATTCACACTTGTCTCAAATAGACAAGAGTTCTTTCTCCCACCCTGGACATTCCACAGATATATAAACCCCACTTGCCTAGTTTCCAACAGACTTCACAACCTCAGAGGATGCCTGCCATAGATGTGAGCGAAACGTTAGGAGAGAATGCTTCTGGAACATGGCCATATAGCCCGGAAAACTCACAGCAACCCAATGATTCTGGCCATGAAAGCCTTCAGCTTGGATAAAAGATACTCAAATTACCTTTTCTGCCATTTGTTGTTGCAAAATGTTTATATAAGTATTTATTGGATATTGTAACTCACCTGAGATCATTCTCCTGAACTATAACTGTGTTACAGAATGTACACATTTAAGTATGTTTGGATGCTCATGTGAACACTTTACCACACCCAGTATGTGCCAAAATTGTACTTCAATTTTCTGTTACTGTAGCTCTGTAATAACTTCCAAATAATAACTCCCTACAAGCAGGATAATATGAGGATTCAGCTTGCTCTCAAGCAATGCCTTTACAGTACATATCCTAAACTAGGATTGGAAAAGTCAAGGAGGGTGCTATGATGTGGTGGCCTGACTGTCATTTCCAAAGGCATATTGCCACAGTGGATAACACCAGTGGGTGAAGCAGAAATTATCATGTTTGTGTTTATTTTAAACCCACTTTCCCATTTTGATCCAATTGAAGGAACTGATTGCCATGGCACAGGCTCTAGTGCCGGTACTATATCTCTCCAGTGGCCAAAGAAGCTTTGGGTCCAATGGTCAATGCCCCCTCTTGGGGTCTACCACTGCCTGCTAGAAGTTGGAGTACTGCTCTGGTACTTTCAGACCTCCGGACATTTCTATGGGTGTAACTCATGGGTAAAAATGCTCTTGCCTCCATCCTCAAGACAGCTGGGCTAGTCAGTCAATGGCTTGATTTCATCTTGATGTATTCATGTTCAAATCTTCACATCTGTTTAGTTTCTTTAATGGTATTTTCCTCATGTCTGAACATGA